GTTATATATATATATATATATATATATAACACTTCAACTGATAATAGAATACGCGCGGCTTTGTGAATTTGAGACCACGAAATATAAAATCGAAGAACATAGCGTCAAATTACGAAATAGGAGACAATTTCGCTAGAACTGTTAAGTTTGAAGAGGAGAAATTTAATTCATAGAATTTGACGTTATGTTATTTAATCCTATCTTATTTATGTCAGTTAAGTTATTTTTTTTTATCTTTCGATTCCTCGTTATTCAAGTAATAAAGTGGACGTTGTTCTTTGTTTTAAACGCCACGTTTGAATCGAATTTACTTGTTTTAGGCCATTTTTAGTTAACATTTAAAAGACGGAACTTTTTTACTTGATTGTATTTACTGTGCGTATCTTCCAATTTCTGAATTGGTGAGTCATAGTTGATTAAGGTTTCGTGAATGTTTTAATGAGATGTTAGGCTATATTATAAAAACCGTGAATGTTATAATGAGATGTTACATTCACGGTTTTTATAATATAGCCTAACATCTCATTAAAAGATAGCGTATTATAAAAACCGTGAATGTTTTAATGAGATGTTAGGCTATATTATAAAAACCGTGAATGTTTTAATGAGATGTTAGGCTATATTATAAAAACTAAAACACTTCCATATTGAATGCTAGTCGATAAACCTTTATCGAAAACAAGAATCATAAATTACAAGTTGCATAAAAAAGATATCAGCATCAAAGGTACCCATAAATGTACTGGAATGTTGGAAACTTTAAAATAATCCTGAACTAAAAATAAGAATAATCTCAGACTGTTTGGCACGGTATTAATACAAACACAATCCGGTCTGGTTTGAAACATTTACAATGGAACTTTTAGCAGTTCAGAGGTATAAAATGAAGAGAGCCAAGATTTCGAATGCAACGAAGAACCAATAAAAATAACACTAATTGGTAAAGAAAACATGTTTCGACAGATGCTTAAATTCACCAGTTTCCGCTAAATATACATCCTAGTCTTAATAAAGCACCAGTCGGTCATGAGAATTCCAACCATTTAAATGTTGATGTGTATTTTATATTTACCAAAGAGTACACCCAACAGCAAACAAAGACACTTACAATCATATACCGAAGAAATAGGTTCTCTCAAACGCCTATAAAAACAGTAGTTAGGACATAAGAAAAATGTGAATCGTAGTCAACTACCTGGTTATCTGGGTGTTAGCACTCAATTTTCGCGTCTCTTGCGTGTATATTTAGGATTACAGTCGAAGTCTATATCTAAATTCAATATGTTTAACTTTAAGTCTAACACAAAGCGATCAACCACAGTAGGAATAAAGAAAAAATATTTTTTTAAATTCCATTCAACCGGATAGTAGACTACGGATTAATAATCTTTCTCTTTATCACATGTTACACCGAAAAACATTTAGATATGAATCTCGAAGGGCACATTGGATATCTAATATATAATTTCTGCTGAGAAATGACCTTCCAAAACGTGGTCTTGACAAAATAATAAAAAACAAAATCTTAGTATTATATATATCATAGTTAGAATGGTAACCAGTTTGTAATAATCAACATTTTTTTTCAAAACTCTCATAACCACGTGATAGTCTTAATGCTTATCGAAATACACATAAATACCTGTTAAATAAGTTGATACATTTAACTACTTTTTTTTCCTTATCACTTGCTCTTATAATACGTCTGTACATCAACCGTTAAAAAACTTTGTTTCTTTTTATCACAATAACACATTTTTAACAGATATTCTGAGAAGACACAGCAGATCATTTTATGGCTGTACTAATATTTCATATCAAAATCAAACTATTCTTTCATGGAAACAAGCACTGAATAAAATAGGGGAACTAAGCAAACGGCAAAAAGAAATAGTAAAGTTAAGAGTTTTGATATAACTCTTATGTTTTTTTTCTCAGGAAGAAAAATAATACTGTTGTATCACATAGCAACAAGATTTCGCTTTCCATTTCAAACCCGTGTTGGATACAAATGGGATTTTAAATTACACCTCTGGATAAACATTCTACCGTGTGATAAACCAGTTACCTGGAACACCGTCACGTGAGCCTCGTGGGACAAAATCTAGTTTGAGATGACGTAGGTAAATCGCTTCAACTCGCATTGAACTTAAATTATACTATCAATCATTTTAGTTTTGGCAATATAAATAAATAAATAAATATATATATATACAGATATGCTGTACAGTGAATGTCACAAGTACATTTAAAGGTAGTTTAAAAATGAATGTTAAAGAACGTAATTTCATACTATAATAAAGTTAGAGTATTAAATTATAGTCCGTATAACAAACAGGAAATATTGAAACACAATCATCGTCACAAACTATTAATAGTGTATTTACTAGTGAATTACGTGACAGCAGCAAACCATACGTTACGTGTCAATCACGCACACACACACACACATGTACTGGAGGAATGAGCGCATACTAAACGTTACTACGGATCACATTCAGAAACTAATATTTTAAACAGAACTCCGATATGAATCAGGAATGAAACAGTTAGTAACCATCTCGACTCTTAAGGCTCTGGTGTAATCTGGAATGATGAAACAGTCAGTAACCTTAAAGCTCAGGTGTAATCTGTTCTAACCTTGTCTTAGTTCTGATTGGTGGCACGTTTCACGTGCCAATAGACTAATTTTACTCATTTGATATCAAGAGCAATCCTCAGAAGAGCTAAACAGCGTTGTTTACACGGAGCAATTTATACAGCGTTGTTCACAAGAAGCTAACTAAACAGAGTTGTTTAGACAGAACAGGTTAACCAGCGTTATTCACATGGAGCTATTTAAACATGGGGCTAGTTAGACAGCATTGTTTACACAGAGCGCATTAAACAGCGTTGTTCACATGAGGCTAGTTAAACAGCGTTGTTCACATGGGGCTAGTTAAACAGTGTTGTTTACATGGAGCTTGTTAAACAGCATTGTTCACACGAAGCTTGTTAAACAGCGTTGTTCACACTGAGCTTGTTAAAAAGCGTTTTTCACACTGAGCTTGTTAAACAGCGTTGTTCACATGGGGCTAGTTAAACAGTGTTGTTTACATGGAGCTTGTTAAACAGCATTGTTCACACGAAGCTTGTTAAACAGCGTTTTTCACACTGAGCTTGTTAAACAGCGTTGTTCACATGGGGCTAGTTAAACAGCGTTGTTTACATCGAGCACATTAAACAGCGTTGTTCACACAGAGCTTGTTAAACAGCGTTGTTCACACTGAGCTTGTTAAAAAGCGTTTTTCACACTGAGCTTGTTAAACAGTGTTGTTCACATGAAGCTAGTTAAACAGTGTTGTTCACATGAAGCTTGTTAAACAGTGTTTACATGGTGCGAGTTAAACAGCGTCGTTCACATGAAGGTTGTTAAACAGTGTTGTTTACATGGGGCTTGTTAAACAGCGTTGTTCAAATGAAGCGTGTTAAACAGCGTTGTTCACAAGAAGCGAGTTAAACAGCGTTGTTCACAAGAAGCGAGTTTAACAGCGTTTTTCACGTGGAGCACAAAATCCCGACTTATTTTAAAGAAAGTACTATGCCTGAACCACATCTTTACAACTTGAACATTTCGATCCCAGATTCTACAAAGATGAAGTCACTGACTAAGAACCCTAATATTCTGAAATATCAGCACTTGACATCCGGGCATCATATTCAATTTACCTTTTATTAAAGCTCTTGCCATAAGCATAAAAATAGCGAAGTCATTAATGTTGTAACACTGAGAGTCTTAAACTTTAAAGCAGTTTTATGGATTAAGACTTCTTGTACTTGTCCAGAAAAAAAGGGGCGTATCTCGAGTAATACAAAACTGGTGACATTTCTTTGTACTCGTGGATATATATTATTATTATTTTCAACTATTAACTATTTGATAGAAATATTAACCACACGAAAAAATAATTTCTTAACCAAACCATCATTGCATATACATATATATATATTTCCAGCAAATAAAAATCAACTTAAACATTTTTTTTTTTCAATCAGTTGCACACTAGAGAAGAACTTATCTATATTTCAAACACTAAGGGGAGAACAATCTATCTCAGCTTATTTAGAAAATAACTTGTACTGGTTAGCATTATTTTGTATAGGAAAACATTTACATAACGAACTACAGATAAAGGCCAGGTATATGAATGCAGATTTATAATCTACAAGCATTCCTAAATATCAGTCCATCACTTGTAGATTACAGCTATTTCTGTTTATAAACCTAAAGACGAAAAAATGACCAAGTAAAAAGAAAATAAAAGAATCAGTTTTCTCTATAGAAGTACTGCTAAGAAGCAAATCTGTGGTACAGTTAAGGTTATGGATGAAAGTCCGGATAATAATCCAGTGGAGTAGGAGGACGTTTAACATTGGGGGAGTAACAGTGGCTCTTTAACCGTTCACAAACCGGCATTTTTCTGAACAACAAAATGATTTTTGAAACATGAGGGGAGAACGGCAAAACATAAATTGGCCATTTGAAAAATTATTAGGAGCTCTAGCTCCCACTGTTCTTACTCCACTGGAAACGAAACAGTTAAGTCGTTGGTTGAAAGTAATGATATAAAACGAAGAGTCGAAACGGTTAAATGTTTGGTTGAAAGTACAGCTATAAAACGAATAAGTGAAACGGTTAAGTCTTTGGTTGAAAATAAGGCTATAAAACGAAGAGTTGAAATGGTTAAGTATTTGGTTAAAAGTACGGTTATAAAACGAATAATTGAAATTGTTAAGTCTTTTGTTGAAATTACGGCTATAAAACGAATAAGTGAAACGGTTAAGTCTTTTGTTGAAAGTACGGCTATAAAACGAAGAAGTGAAACGGTTAAGTCTTGAGCTGAAAGCACGGTTAAGAAACAGAGTCGAAACAGTTAAGTCTTTGTTGAAAGTACGGCTATAAAACGAATAAGTGAAACGGTTAAGTCTTTTGTTGAAAGTACGGCTATAAAACGAATAAGTGAAACGGTTAAGTCTTTTTTGTTGAAAGTACGGCTATAAAACGAATAAGTGAAACAGTTAAGTCTTGAGCTGAAAGCATGGTTAAGAAACAGAGTTAAAACAGTTAAGTCTTTTGTTGAAAGTAAGGTTAAGAAACAAAGAGGTGAAACAGTTAAGCATTGTGTCGAAAGTACGGCTATGAAATAAAAATGTGTCTTTGATTGAAAGTACAGCTAGAAAACAAAGAGTCGAAACAGTCAAGTTTCGTTTTTTTGTTGTTGTTCCCTTTGAAAAGGCACAATATCATACCCCTGACGATAACGTCACAAATATTCATATGAAAACAATAATATTAATGAAGTTTATATTAAAGACTTGTATTTCCCCGGCAGGTCAATTCTAGCACCATAGCAAATACAAAGTATTTACCACACAAGATTCATCAAAATAATTTTTATTTCCTTTTACCTTTTCTTCTTTTCTAACAGTCTGAAGACTATATAGTAAGAAAACCGAAATAATGTAATATTTAAAATTCTAGGATTTACCACTTAACACGGTGGCTGAAATATCCAGAAGGTCACAACTTTTACTTTCTCGCGACTTTTTATCGGAATTCAGTTCAAATTCAAAGAAAAGTCCCATCGAGCAGACTTCCCATCTCTGAAATCTATAAACATTTCAATGACGCTAATGGCAATAACAATTTTAATCAAATGAGACACACGCCATTGTTGGTATGGATAGTTTTGGATTATCTAAAATTAACAGGAAAAGTTTATACATTTAGAAGTATTTTTTTATTCGCTTTCAAATATCTGTTAAAGTATTAACCTGTTTATATATTAGAATTACTTTAAAATTTAACTAGAGAGACAATAATCTTTTAATTAACCATCAAAATGACAAGTTTTTCTTTTATAACTGAAATGCACAATTTTGCTAATGCAGGTACAAAAGAGGGAGTGTTTTATGGCGGTAACGATATAACAGCTATATTGTTAAAGTTATTTATACATTTAGTTTTTATTTTATTTTAAAACTTCATCTAGCTGTTTAGAAAAAAGCGATTATATTACAATAATCCCTTTTTTAAAGTTCATTCGCGTGTGTATGTATGCTCGAATTCTTCAAAATACAATTACAGGCTATTAATGCCTATTGTGCCATCCTTTTTCATTTGACGGCCTCTTTTAGACTTCACCCACAAATTTGTTTATCTACATCTAACCACTTTTATCTCTGGAAATAGGAAGCTGTTTGAATTAACTTGATTAATTTATTTCTAAGCTCTGATACGCGGCCAAACGAAATGGCTTGGACTTCAGCTTTGCCAAATACTAACTTCAAACGGCGTAATTACTGTTTGGTTCTGTAAACTTAATAAAAAAGTCCTTCCTTGTTAACAAGATAAGGGGCGCTTTGAGCTGTACACGTAACCTAATAAGATAAATCAAGCTTATTTACCCAAAATACCCATATAACGTGCATGTACTTTAGGAAAAATAGTCAAAGAGAGTCAAAGGTGATGTTTAGGTTTCCCAGATATTCACTAAACACGCAAAAAATATAACAAGAAAAATCTATACTCGGAAAGACTGGTTACACTTTAACATTCGTAGTGTTGTTTCGACTGAGGCCACATGCTTCTAAGAATCAAACAAGAAAGATCTCCTTCGTCAACTGTGGAGGAACATCACATTATAACAACTATTGGTGTTGACATGGGTTTGATACAAATATCTACTGCCTTTTACTGTCGAGTTAAATATGTTAAAACCCATAGGGTAGCATAATATGTCTAGTTGGGCCTCAAGTGTCATTGTTTATGGTCCTAAAATGATACTTAAAGATATTAGTAATTGATATAAGATTGGAATATTAGCTAATTTCATGAACTTAGAGTTAAGAAAATTGTTTTTTGAAAGAACTAGCTCAACATTTTTGGATTAAATACAAAACAAACCAACGAATAACCCTTAAAAATGCAATCGGGAGTCTCTAAAATAATCGGAATAAGACAGTGCAAGATTAGAAATAATATACGATTGTTGTAATGAAAGCCAATCATATAGAGTGTTTCATCAACTTCTATAAACGATTGTTGTAATGAAAGCCAATCATATAGAGCGTTTCATCAACTTCTATAAACGATTGTTGTAATGAAAGCCAATCACATAGAGCGCTTCATCAACTTCTATAAACGATTGTTGTAATGAGGACCAATCACATAGAACGTTTCACCAAATTATATAAACGATTGTTGTAATAAAGGCCAACCATATAAAGCGTTTCATCAACTTCTATAAACGATTGTTGTAATAAAGGCCAACCATATAAAGCGTCTTATGAACTTCTATAAACGATTGTTGTAATAAAGGCCAACCATATAAAGCATTCCATCAACTTCTATAAACGATTGTTGTTATGAAGACCAATCATATAGAGTTTCATCAACTTCTATAAACCCACCACTTATCACAATGATATCTTATATAGAACGCCAATTGAGCTTGTCTTCTAGGGTTATTCTACTATACTTTTCATGTTAACTTTAATAGCATGGGACACTTGTTTTTGAAAAAATTTACAGTGATAGTATAATATTCAAACGTCATCATGGTACCTCGTGTGATACAAATATATTTATCCAAGAACCATTTGGGATCGATTCTTTTTTTCTGAAAACTAAACAACCAGTTGGTTTTTTTTCATGCATCCTTCCACAAGGATACGTTTTAGCAAGTTGTGTGACGTTTTAACTGATAAAACTTATCCTGCCAGTAAAGGGTAAACTGTGTTGAAAAAATACGTTCTGATGTGTCTGATTCTAGTAGGCTCTAAAGAACAGTTACACATAAGCTCCTGCTCAGACCTTAAGGATCAGAGAACAATGAATCGTCTGTGGGGAAGTACAGTTAAACAGTGCCGTTAGCTAGCGGATAGCATCATGTTTCAATGGCTCTGATAGATTGGGGGGGGGGGGTACAGCGGGTTTTAAATTGCTTTTGTACACGCAAAAATTTCAAGATAAATTTTAAGCACAATTTTGTTTTATCTAATGCAACAGAACTGATTATATGCTCCCCCGAAACTTTCTTATCTATGAAACATCATCACAATAGAACATTCAATGAAACACTAGAATATCGACATCTAAAGTTTTCTTTCAACGTGGAATATATGTTTTAGTTAAACGCGATATCTGTGTAATGCATATTTTAATGGCAAACGGATGCGCTAGGAAATAGTTTACTTATAAACCGAAAAAATCCTTTACTGACTTTCTTTCAGCACGTTTTTTTCTTCGATGATCAGAAGGAACAAAGATGTAAAGTTAGTTTCTGATTGAAAATGCTGCGTACAAGCAAAACTTTTTAAGTAAAGACTAATTTAACAGCATTACAAAGTAGGTCAACTGACCTTTTTCCAAGAATCAAAAATTTAGTCGCGAGAATGCTCTTTTAAATGAAACGAATTTCGAATCAAATTCTAATATTTTGACGGAAATAGAGCACACACACATTCATACAATAACACAGTACAGATGCGAAGGAATACAAGAAGTAACGGTAATATAAATGCATATTGCCTTGAAACAATCCAGAAAAATATCTCCAAAAAACATCACCCAAAAAGAACTGTTATATGAAACCTTTTGTAAAAACCAGCAAGAAGCAAACAAAGGATGAGAACGATTAGATGAAATGAAATCATATTGTCCAAAAAAAACAAAACAACGTTTATATGAATCATACTGTCCAAAACCAAAACAACTATTAGATGAAACCATATTGACCCCAAAAAAAAAATAACGTTTATACGAAACGATATCATCTTAAAACAAAATAACGTTTATACGAAACTATACTATGAAAAAACTGTTAGATGAAATAAAACTATCCTGACCAAAAATTGACGAAATCATACTGTCCAAAAAGGGAAAAAAGAGTGAAATTAAACGTTTAAGTGTGACCATATTGTAAAACAACAAAAGAAAAGCAGGGGTTTGAGGAACGTAAATTTGAACACGAGCATCGATTATAGGAGGATTATTGTGTATTTTTATTATGGTTACATTTAATATGCTGTGTTTTAAACCATTACACAGAAAATCTGATGTACTGCATCTGGCTTAATAAAAGGCCATTTTGTTTAACGAAAACGTGCATTTGCACCCATACTTTAGAAATGAAATGAATACAAACAATAGCTACATTTATGTTATGATTGCGGCTTTTGAAATAATTAATATTTCAACAATTTTCTGCAATACAAAACAAATAAGATTAGGTGACTCCCACACATTATGTTTTGTATGCATACAAAGTTATATGTTATAAAATAATATTAATGGCCTCCTCTCCTGTCAGTGCATCGTGACACGTGACCAGCAATAGCCTCATTCTTGTTCCCAAGGCAACAAAGTAAGCCAATATACATATGTAAAAAAAAAAGATATGTTTTTACGTTTTTAAAAACCCAAGAGAACAAAATCAGGCATGTTACAAGTTCTTTCTGAAATTACATCAATATTTACCCGATTCTTGTGTCTAGAATTGAAATATTAACAGATATTCTGTTTAGAATTGCTATTTGCTAACTAAATTACAAGCTTCCTTATAAATATTCATACACACGTCGGTCAAACATGCTATATAGAAGAGACTGATGGAGTAAATTCTGTAAAGTTTGATAACATTCTTTAATTATATTTAACAAAATAAAAATTGAAGTTAATACATTTGCATTAATAATTCTGAAGATAAGGAAGTCTCCTGAAGTATACTAATTAACAGTAACAGTAGCTTTAAAGTACTATCAACAATAATTAAAACATTTTAATACTCTTTCTAGTACCTATTAGAAAATTAAAGTGGAATTTGACTCATTATTTGTCACGATTTGACATTCAGTTATTATGTGCTATCATTAACGTAGAATCACGCGACACGAATATAATTTACTTTCTAAAAGTATATATATATATATGTTTTCTCCACATGAAGGACGACCTATAAAATAATATATTTCTTAATATTATCGACTTACACAAAGCTATTTATACATATAACCTTTATAAATGTTCAGTACTTATTCATAAATAAATATAAAATTCTTGACAATCAGTAACTTAAGGGGGCGCATGCTAAAGTAAATTATTACACGGTTGTAATCTTCACGAAATATCTATTAAGACTGAATGCAGTTCTGTAGCTTCTCACAAATGTTATTGGTGAGTATTCCCTACATAATTTTAATTAAAGTTTTTTTTTCTTACTAGTTATATTTAGAAAGAAAGTGTACAAAGGCGATTGATAAGCCGATTCTTAACCCGTGTAATGAACTTGTGCCAGTAACGTCAACTTCTTTACAACTGAATATCTAGTACAAGTATTTCAGAGGCCAAAGTGAACACTTAGAACTTTTGTTTTTTTTTTTTTTTACTTCACAGTTATATAATTACACAAACATCATTGAGTTCCTAAAAACAGTTTCTTGAACAACGTAGTCTGGCGTTGATAAATATTTCGCTACGTAGGCTTAGGACGAAAGTAATAGGAAAACGAGATTTATCCATTTGCTGCGGTACAGAAATGACGTTTCCAATTGCTAGCAGAATTTTCATCGACTGGTTTAGGCTCGCTTCTGATCGCCATAACAACAGTTTATTTACTATACGTGTATAATCCTGCTGTGGGGCAGTTAGGAGCATCGTGTCAAAACTCCCACAGCTGGTAGTGTATACAAGATTTACTTAGCTGATCTCCAAGTGCTGACAGGTTTTAGAAGCGATTTGCTAATCTCAAGATGATGGAAGATTTTGCGAATGTTATACTGTTCTCAAGGAAATGGAAGATTTTAAAGCGTTTTGCTTTTCTGTAGGTGCTGAAAGATTTTGAAAGCATTACGCTGTTCTCGAGGTGGTGCTAGCATATTTTAGGAGAGTTATTCTATTCTTCACGTGCTTATAGATTTTAGAAACGTTATGCTTATCTCTAGGTGCTGGCAGGTTTTTAGAAACGTTATACTTATCTCTAGGTGCTGGCAGGTTTTTAGAAACGTTATACTTATCTCTAGGTGCTGGCAGATTTTTAAAAACGTTATGCTTATCTCTAGGTGCTGACAGATTTTTAGAAACGTTATACTTATCTCTAGGTGCTAGCAGATTTTTAGAAACGTTATGCTTATCTCTAGGTGCTGACAGATTTTTCGAAACGTTATACTTATCTCTAGGTGCTGTACAGGTTTTTAGAAACGTTATACTTATCTCTAGGTGCTGGCAGATTTTAGAAACGTTATACTGATCTCTAGGGGCTGGAATATTTTAGAAACGTTATACTTATCTCTAGGTGCTGGAATATTTTAGAAACGTTATACTTATCTCTAGGTGCTGGCAGATTTTAGAAACGTTATACTGATCTCTAGGGACTGGAATATTTTAGAAACGTTATGCTTATCTCTAGGTGCTGACAGATTTTGGGAGAGTTGACTTCGAGGTGCTGGAAGATGTGGTAAGGGTTATACTTATCACGAGGTGCTAGCATACATTCGAAACATTTTGCTGTTCTCGAGATGTCAGCAAATATTAGAAGCATTATGATCTTTTATACGTTTAACTGCTTTTAATTCCACCAATGAGTTTTGAAGTCACGATCTTTATGAGAAGCTAGAACATATGACACTATGAAATATTCATATATATATATATTAATTATTGGTTAAAAGCAACATCTACTAAACATTACTTTTGAGTTAGCTTCAAATTTCTTTTTCGGTCGTTTCTCGGAAATATTACCAACGTTTTATAAAATAATTAAACACTTGTTTTATGTTGTCAGAAAAAAAAAGAGACCTGAATTATATTAATAAATAAATCTACTTTCAAACAATCCAGCTGCCTTCAGTAATGAAGAATAATTTGTTACGGAAACCTATTATAAACGTGGAAGGATTAACACGAAACATCGCATTGAAATACCTTAGAGCTACTTCCATATAAGGGCAAGTAGTTTTGTATCAAGCATCCAATCACACATCGACTAATAAGTGATATGTTGTGCGCGTACATCACCATTCGGAAAAACAAAAGCGCACCATAACTGTGTGTGTACATTGATTTTTAGTGACATATCAGTTTCCAGAGAACTGCATGACATTCTACGGTTACTTAAAAAAGAAAAGAAAAAAAGAAATCAAAGTGTTTTTTTCTCCAACGGTATAATAACGTGGATGTAGCAGTAAGTTACCAAAGCAGTTCACAGTGGAAACAATTGCAACCCCCCCCCCCCCACCTGTGCAGGTACTCTATTTACCACTAGATGTAGCAGACCAAGGAAACTGACTGTCTCAAACAACTCGTGTCTTGCATAACTCTGATAAGTCAGTGGTACTTAAACATTAGTATCATTTAAGTCGCACAACATCCGCTGTATCTGTTTCTGGCTTAGCAGCAGGAGGCACGGGTTTCTGGTGAACATCCTGGTGCAAGTGGTGCAGGGTGGTTCATAACTCAGTCTTACAAAGAATTCAGCACCACTGGTCATTTTCTCTGAAAAAATAAGATTAATTGACGTTTTTGTTCAATCTCATTTATAAATGAAACTCAGACACATTTAAAACCTAGAGAAAAATTGATAACTCGAAAAACTTGGAAGTATACCATGCATTATATCTATATCTGGAAAAGTTTCATAATTTGAACACTACAAAAATGCTTCAGGATTGTACTCAAGGTATTCTAGGTGGAAGTAATAGAGTAACATTATCGAAATCCTTAAAACAGTTTCTGGAGACTGTTTTGTTAAAGGGTAAAACATGCATTTCAAACAAGGGCGGCAAGAAAATCTTTAGACATCTTCCATTTTAAAATACTCTACGAATTGACTTCAAAAAGGTTTGGTGAATTTCTTCTCAAATATTAATATAACAATTAATATAATAAATATTACTAATAAAAACATTATTATTACAGTATTTCAAGACTTATATTAATCTTTACGCTTTTCTATATGTCGTTCATACTTTTGTTAAGTTATGAAAGAGAGAAAAAATTAGTTTTATCTTAAAATGTTTATGTTAGTGTGGAATAAGTTTTCACTGTTTAGCAGGTACTGACTATTGGTGAAGTATAGGATGTTCAGAACCATATATGTAGGGTGTTTATAAAGAAAACATCACATTTGGAATTAAGGTATCTCAAAACTGCTTGTACCGTATAGAGGAACAAAATAAGACCACATCGAGATTAACATGTTTTATTCAAGCAAGTGTGGACGTTTCGAAAACTGTTATAGAAGATATGCTTTCAATCACTCTCAACAAAAGCATATCAAGCTTATCTCTAAATGAACTTATCATCTTATCTGGAAAGTGTTCAGTGATTTTCGAAACAGCCTGTCCACTGACACGTATTTTGTTCATGTTTCGTGTTGTTGAAGAAAACAGAGAAAAGCAATACTAGTTTACTAAAACAACCATTTAGATATGCAGTATAATATAGTTACTATGTACAAACTTTCCTGAATAAAACCCAGGGTTCTCAATCTGCCTCTGGTGAAGTTTGGGTTCCTCCTTCTCCAATAATTTTTAACGTATATTCATCTTGAATAAACTTCTTATCAATAATCGCTTGTTAAAAGAAAGAATGATTTCAGAGGGTTTTTTTTTTAAATAATGAATACAAATAACAGAAACAATGTTAACCCCGGAAAATGTTTTCAACTGTTCTGAGGTATGGTTCTTTTCCACTACTCAAAGTGAGAATGTAACACAATCGATAAATTGGAACTCACTTGTTTGAAGAAGGGCGCATCCATACCAAGAGTCAGAAAATACTACATACAGCACCATGGCAACCTTGTGGAATCAGTGGATGGGCAGAGAGGTTGCTAGTAGGGAACATCGGGACCCGATTGTGACGTTGTTGGTTGCTCCCTGCCTGGGCAAGAGCACAGAAATGAAAATAACTTCAGGCAAGTTTACATACACATCTAATCAGTAAAGTAACTGGGCAGTGTTGGTCACTTAAAGGTTTTTACATTATAACATAATAAACGCAGTTAACAGACATCTTTGACTGCAGCACACTATGACTTTATTTGTACAAGAGTATTCTTATTTAAAGATTCAGAATGTTGTATGAGTAACGGGCTTCCTTCATTAAATAAAACAATCTGTAGAGTACTGGAATCGACCCGTTTATTGTCAAAGTAAAGGATAAATATTAGGCATTTCTCTGTTAACGACAAATACACATAATGAGAGTTTCTCATCTCTTAAAAAATTCCTCACTAACCCAAAATAAATAGTCAAATGATTTCTCGTAGATGAGGGAAACAAAGATGGCAAACAATGACGTCCCCACAGAGAAGACGTGCAAGGCAGAATCCATAAACTGTGACCGTGAAAAGTTAATAGTAATTTGAACTAACCCAAAATAAATGGTCAAATGATTCCTCGTAGATGAGAGAAACAAAGATGGCAAACAATGACGTCCCCACAGAGAAGACGAGCAAGGCAGAATCCATAAACTGTGACCGTGAAAAGTTAATAGTAATTTGAGAAACAATAAGCACCAGGAATAAAGAGGTTTCTTGTAACTCTGAATACGTATGCCGTGTATTACAACTCTACCAGCGAAATTAAATAGAAGGTTCTCACTTGAATTTAAGGCGGGATTCAACTACATTGAGAAACTGTAGTTGGTTTTAAAGGAAATAGATAGCAACATAACAGATCTAGGCTCATTGAACATATTAGTTTTATCAGTATTTTGGTTTCTTTATACGCACTTGTAACAATTATAACTTTCCAAAAACCAATAAAAAAACAAACCAAAAACAAACGTGCATTCAAATAAGTGAGATAAGAAAATCTTTACATTTTCCATTTTAAATACTCTACGAATTGACTTCAATTGACTTCAATTGACTTCAACCATGATTTTACCCTTAGCGGAATCCGTTGAACCGATCGATTTCCTTCGAAAAGGTTTGGTGAGTTTCTTCTCATGACCAAGGTGCTGTCAAAGACAACAAAACACATTAACTGTTTCTTCTCATGACCAAGGTGCTGTCAAATACAACAAAACACATTAACTGTTTCTTCTATTAACCAAGGTGCTGTCAAAGACAACAAACACATTAACTGTTCTTCTATTAACCAAGGTGCGTGTACAAATACAAC